ACTAAGAGCTGTGAGAAATTATGACTTAGCCACAGACTTGTTTATATGATTTGTTATCCTCACTTTGTCCTTGAATTCTCCATTAATAAGATAGCATAATGGTTCCCTGCTTCAAGGAGAAGGTTTGAGGTAGAAGCCATTAGTGACAGCAGATTGTTTGGGTACTAGAAATACAGGAAAATATACCACCGCTTGTCTTTTCCAGAAAATGTGGTAGAAGATAAGCTAATTGTCAGGTGATTCACAGGTGATTTGACAGTTGAATAATGAGTCCGAAGAATGAACTATAGTATTTCCTTAGTGCTCCTACACATTTTTTTTTGAAACCTCCTAGTGTGGAAGGGGAATGTATGGCTTGTTAAAATATTTATTATGAAAATCAAATTATATAAGGTCTCTTAGCACATTGTTAGAAATCTAAATATATTACGAGTAGACCTGTAGTTTTGTAGATAGGCTTGATAAGAAATGGTAACAAACTAGAAACTCTATTCTCTAACTGTCAGTGATCCAGAACATAAGTTTCCAGTCATTAAAACTTAAATTCTGTTAAAATTTTAACAAGGTTTCTGACCTTTCTCATGTAGCACAAAATAGCATTCCAGAATTGATTCTCTGCTAGAGACTTTAAAATTAATGCTCTTTGTAAATCGGGTTTAAGTGTGATTATTTGAGAGTGGTAGAAGAATGGAATTAATTGTACTGATGTTGAGTTGAAATAACTTTCCTGAATGTGTTTCTGTTTAGGTGTCTTTGCATGTTAAGGTATATCATATCTCATTTGAATTTGTGTTTAAGTTTTTTAACTTGTTCACTTTTTTTCTTGAAATTTTTATGATTTTACTGTAATATTTTCTTCTGGTTTTCTTTTTAATTGGATGTAAGGCATTTTCAGTAAAACAGTAGGGAACCAAGGCAATTTCCATTGACCTTCTTAAGCCAGTGCACTGTGGTTTACCTGAACTTTATCTGACTGGTAAATATGTCCTTACCTGGATCACTAAAGTATCATTTGATCTCTAAAAGGTGATCTTGTACATTTGCCATTGTATTTTTTGTGGTGTAATATCTGTCTGAAATGTGTATGGTATTTATTTACAGAAATGGACTCCAAGAGCCGTGCACTGTTGATGTTACCTGACAAAGTAATTGAATTAAGGAACATAAGAAGACCTTTATTTTATGTAATGAATTGGAAAAGCTTCCTCCCAGAGACAGGTGGCTGTCTCGCTTGACAGCTGCAGAATTCTGAAGAACTAAATGGGAAGCTACAACTCTTTCTCAAAAGTAATATGCATGGCTTTGAGTATCAGGAAAAAAATGGATCAAGAGAAGCTATCATCTGTAGCTCTTCCTATGGTCAGATTCTTTGTGTATCTGAAAGGGAGTCAGTTCTTCAATCTTTCAGTACCAAAATTAATTACTTCCTTTTGCATTATGTAGAAGGGTAGAAAATCTGGCAGAAACATCATATTAAATCACTTGTGTTAAGGGTAATGCTGTATTGTTATTCATCTGCATACCATATAGATAGCATAATTATGAGAAGCTTTAATGTTCTTTAAAATGGCAATTGATCAAGTAAGTTATTGCACTGCTAGCTGCCAATTGTCAGACAAATAAACTGCTTTATTACACTTACTAATCAGTTTGTTATTTGCCTGTAGGAATCAAAATGTGTGCCTTAAATCCCTCAAGCAATTCCTTGATTATGTGAAAATATTATTTTGTAACCAATTAAGTTCCATTTATGTTTTTGGGGTAATTTTGCAATTAAAATTACATGTTTCTAGACACAAATTCTTTATTGCTAGTAAAAGTTGGGAAAAGTGGAAGCTTCAGAAGGCATGAGTCCAAAGCCTCTAGCAATATCTCATTGCCAACATTGCATTTTAAACAACATAACTAAAAAGAAAAATACTTATAAGAAAAAAAATCAGGAAGGCGGGGGGAACTTGTCAGTTCTGCTGTGGAGAATTAAAAAAAAAGAAAGTATATACAGTCAAAGACTTTCTCTAGTTAACATAAACTAGATTTGAAAGTATAGTTTGTTATTTCAAAAGGACTAAGTCAAAATGGCACTCTTAAAAGCTGGTTTCTGGAAGCTGTCTAACATCATTACTTTATTCTCAGCTTTAGCAAGGATCTGAACAAAGCTTACATGCCAGTACAGCTGTACAGTGCTGCTCAGGCTCATGGACTCTCACATAGGCAGTCAGTCAAAATAATACCCCCAGACAGAAAATAATGTGCATTGTGCTCAATCTGTTCCTGTCAGTGCTGCCATTATCAGTCTCACTGCAGCAGGAGGCTGGAGCAAGAAACACACACCCCTGTGGGTGCTGTTCTTTTCAACCAGTTACAGAAGACATTTTATTTTGCTGTCTATGATTATTGACTTACAATAGCAAAACTTGGTGGGTGGCAAACTGAAAAACACCTATTTTTCTCCACTGAAGTTGGAGGACTTGGGTAGATAAATAAGATGATCTGGTGTGGTATACTTGAATGGGGATGGAATGCTA